ACACTAACCAAAAGAGATTTGAGATATTTGATTAAAATTTCTTTAACTGAGTTAGTAAAATGAATTAACGTAATCATCATAATTAGAAGTGATAAAGCAAGAAATGCATAACTTATTTTATAATGGTATGCGATGGGCTCTTCGACAAATGCTATTAAAATAAATGTCACATAGGGTACTCCACAGTTAATCAATATAAAAATTAAGAAAATAATTCGCTTTACAATAGTTATTTCGCGTCGTATTTGAAACAATGTTTGACGAGATTGATGTTTTTTTTTCAAAGACGATAGTCACAGTACCCTGTAGAAGCTTCTTTTACGTAGACAATCAAAAGGAAATAAATCGAAGAAATAAATATTACTGGAATTAAATATATTACCACAGTTCCATACATCATCATGCCGGTGTTTCGTATTGAAAGCAAGCAAACAGAATCGGGACGAACGTAAACTATTTGTCCGCTTACTGGGAACGGTAATATACTTAGGAAACTAAAGAACCATTGAATTAGAATTAATCGTACTTGAAAACGGTATGTTTGATATTGCTTCTTTTTAGAATAAACAACAAGCAGAAATCGTTGCAATGCTTGAAGACAATAACTGTGAAACAGGAGACCGGCTGTTACGTATGCAAAATATCCACGGAAAGCACATGCTACAGCTTGGGGGTGGTAGTCTTGTTCTTCTTTGTGAAGATCGTTTTTAAACATGTATGTTGACATCCAAAGGATGTTCGTCGAAAAAAGAAATGTTGAAACGGCGGTATTTGATGAAAGTAAATTGGAAATGGAAAAACATTGACGCCGATTCAGTAGAATAACCAGAATAAATAACATGACAATTACATCGGTCAGTATACAAGATGAAGCAATGACAGAATCGACTAGAATTAGCCACCACGATATAGCTTCAGCAGTAGTGGAATTCATGGTTTTGAAGTTTAATTCTAAACGTTTGACGTGCTGTACTCTTCTAAGATCATTAGAAAATGAAATCTGGAAATGACAGGCAGCTATCACTCACTAGTTTTAGCCAAATTAAACTAAACTACAAAACGTTAGAAAATGTGTAGCTAAGCGCTTTTCTTTTTTTTTCCGTACTGCAGGGGGATATCGGAGTTTCATTAAAACAAATTTCATTCAAAGCTTCCATTAAAAGGAAATTCATTAAAATTCTTAATCAACGTTTTGGGCTATCAAACCTCTGGGTCACAGTCATTTTGTAAGAGACATTTTAATAAGGTTTTTTTTAATATAAGATTTTTTAATAAATGTCACCCAATCCACTGTAGGACGTATTATTAGAAATACATTTCAAGTTCGCATTTTGTTGAATATCATCTGACTTTGAAAGATGCGTGCTGAAAGGTTAGAATATTCTTTTTTCTAACACAACATACTTTGAAATTACATTTTCGTCAAAAAAATAATATTGTGTGCAAAATGTTTCATGAAAGAATTTTAAGAATGCCTTAAAGCTTGAAAGTGTTGGCTATTGGTTCTTTATTTTTTCCAAGATAGGGACATCTAAAGAGTGGCAGAGCTTCATCTCCACCATTTTCATTTCACACTCTTTGAAAGAAGTTTTTTTTTATTTTTTTATTTTAATTTTATCCTCTGAAATAAAAAGAAAATAAATAATGATGAATCGTGTTACTGCGAATCAAAGTCTTATCCTTGTTAAAGGGTAACTCTTCTCTCTTTTTGTAGTAAAACTTTTTGATTCTGTGCTGAACACATCCTAAGGTAGAGGAAAGCCTGGGCTACAAAATGAGACCACTACTAGCGTTCCACGATCTCCCTCTAAAAAGTTATGAATTTTTAAGTCTTTTCTTCAAAGCTCAAAAACTGAATTTTCAGTTTCATAAATTTTTCTTTCCTTTCCTATATATTCAACATTGTTTTTATACATAGTCTGATAGGAGAAGGTCTTCGCTTCAAAATGAGACGCCGCCCAGAATTTTCCGATGAGTTTTCATAGAGATAAGCATCGCGGCAAATGCCCGGAAAAAAAATGTCCCATGTACAGAATGTGTTCTTCTCAGTATATATTTGTTCAATACCTTCTTCAATCCAATCACATATTACAACCCCTCGAAAAAAATGATCCGATTGAGCTGAAATTTATACCACGGATACTTTTGACGCTATCAACGACGTTCTCATATTTTTATCATGTTACAACGCTATAAATTCGACTAACGCGTTAATAGTTACCAGGCGTTACTAAATTCCTTCTGTATTATAACGCATTAATCTGAAACGCATTACACAGAAGTGAGAAATGCATGAAAGGTTCATGTTATAACAATTATGGGCATCCTCGGTGTAATATCGCTTTGGTGTTAGTGACTCTCTGGATGTAGCGATAATCACTTCGGTCCTGTTTGACACACGGAGGATTGGGGCTCAGCCATTTCGCCTCATTCGCAGAATACTAGATTCTAATAACGAACTCATCCTAGCGATAATATCTACGGATATACATTCTCTGAAAGTACAAGCGTGAATGTTTTCTTCACATATGGTAAACGTTACCTTACGGTAAAACTCACAGGTGACATGTAAAACATTTAACCGCCCTCACTTTTATTCTGAGATCAAATGCCAGTTATATGGCAAACCATAATTGAGAAATACTTGAGAAAAACCTATTAATATGGTTCTAATGACAAGTAGAAAGGATTTAGACAAAGAGGGGGCGTCTTAATAAAACTACTGTGTATAAGGTTTGATCTCAACTCCAAAGTGAGTCTGAGGTGGATGATTGACTCTGATTGCATTATGTTCCCGAAAAAAAACTGGGTAAAATATGGTGAAATCAGCTTCTCAGCTATCTCAAGAAATATTCCTTTTGAGAGACCCTTCTATATCAAAATCCGATGGTGTAACATAGTGACTAGAGAAAATGAGATCTATTTAGATCAGAGGACAGAGAGCTGAATTTGCTGTGCACATCCTCTAGTCCTAAATTTACTATCTGACTTATACTGATTTTTCCTTTTCAGATAGAGATTATAACATGACAAAAGCATTATCTGCTCGACGAATGCGTTAAAATTTGATTGTATATTTTTCGTCAGCATGGTGCGCGTTTTGCAAAGGTGGATTATCGGAGTTTTCCTAGGCTTTAAAAGATTTCTAACGGTTCCAGCATTCTGTATCACCACTATATGGAAAATTTTAGAGAAAAGGAGTATTAAAGAAAAAAAAGCAGTGTTATAGGTTAGAAGAAAAACGTATACATTCTTATTCTTATACACACACACACGCGCACACACACATAGGAAATACTGCGTGGATTCTTGGTTTTTCTCTCTTTTCTTTCTCTTTTGCGAACCTTAAATGTATATCGTTTTCCACTATGTAAAAATAATCTTATTTCTGATGATGACAGAAGATTCTGTCGAAATATCAAAATAAATTTCACTGTGATTAGTTAATCATGATATTTACAGCAGTTTTATATTTCATTTTCCAATCTCATACCTTTTCGTTGAAAGAAGCAGTTAACAATGTGGAAAGTATTATAAGCTTTGAATATGTGACCTTCGTTTTCATATCGATTTTCAACAAATTGTGGAGCTTTAATGAAACTGACACCGTGAGGCATTAGTTTGTGAAGTAATAGAAACAGCAGACCAGGTAAAATATATTACTGAAGGCGAACTCGGCATCAGTTTATTTTATTCACGCACTCTCACTAGGTTGGTTTGATCGAAACAATATGGGTTCTATCTCACTGATACCGCTGGTTATGCTGAGCATATACACTTTTGTCGAAAGTGCAATAGGTACGTTGCCGAACTGAAACTGGTTGCCGTCAGTTCTAACGCTCATTTAGGTTCTATGTTGAACTGTTCCCTCTTCGTGTCAAACAAAGAAGTCAGCCAATCGTTCCTATCTCGATTTAGTTCAATCCATGACCCAATAACAGAAGCTTCCTATGGGGTTAAAATGCGACACTCATACGAGTTCTCATGATTTACACTTCGGAAAAGATGTATACAGTTGCGAACACGTCTTCACGAAACTAGGTTTATCCGAACTAAATTCACATTCTTCTTTTTGCCTGATTCATATTTAATTATGATATCTCCTACATCCTGTCTTCTTCATTGGGTGTACTGCTTCTGTTATTCGGTTTTCCTACTTCATTCTTTCCTAATCCTTCGACGGATCAGTACACAGTGTACCAATCCATTGAAGAATTCGTTCAGCTTATACCGATCCTTTTACTTTTTACAGAGTACTGACGCTCCGTTCCTTGTCGTTGTTGGATTTAATTTCATGCTTACAATAATCTCGTAGTCGTAGAGCATAGCGGCTAATGCTCATACATTTCAGTTCTCTCCATCATTAACGACATTTACTGTCACACTGCGATGCATTTTCGCAATGTTCCTCGGCAAGGTTTGAGATGGGTTTTCAGCCCATTCTGAATGTTGATATAATTCACTCGAATTATTTGTGAAACTTTCTCCAGGATAGGAACAGTGTATCGCTAAGGAGGTGTGTAAGTTTAAAATTAGAATTTTTTTCACAGAAAGAAAGAACTTCACAGGGATACTGCAGATAAATATTCATTTTAATGTAAGATTTTGTCCTTTTCTTATATTTATTTGAAGAGAAAAATTATTCAATCAAAAGAATAACACATACGGCAGATTTTGTTAGTTGCTGATTACGACCAAATTACTTTAACGCATTGTAAAATAGAATAATCAATGCTGTTTAGCCTTAATCGACGCAGGAAGTATCAATAGACGGACGTTTATCTTACACTTAATGCAGGATTTTAGCAGAAACCATGCTTTTTAAGTTTTATAAAACTCACATAAATCACCGTTATGTCATTTGTATATGTTATCGAACGACTGTTCTTATCTATTCTTCATAATGACACACATATACACTGACGACTACAGGCATATATAAAACTCTTTTTTCTTGTGTCAATACAAACACTCGGAAACAAAAATAAGAACAGAAAAGTATGGCTGCCACACAATCATCATCATCATCTATACTTCACCTTACTGGTGACCATTTAGAAACTCGTAATCGATGGAATGGATCGATAGCTGTAGTTTATAATCCTATAACAAAACAAGCCGAATGGCGTGAATCATCGCGCAGTGGTATACATGGTGTATTTAATCCTCAAACAGAGCAAGTAGAATGGCGTGAATCATTGCATTCCGGTGTATTTGGTGTTTATAGTCCTATTTCAAAAATAGTTGAATGGAAAGAATGTTGGCACGGTGGAGTTTGTGGTGTATGGAATCCACAAACACAGCAAGTTGAATGGCATGAAAAATGGCATCATGGAATTGGTGGAGTTTATAATCCATTAACTGGTAAAGTTGAGTGGGGTGAAGAATGGAATGGAGGAATAGTCGGGTATTTTGATCAAGAATCAAAGCAAGTAAAATGGATTCGTAAATGGCATCATGGATTAGCACTGATTTATAGGGACGTAGCTAACATTCATAAAAGAAATAGGACTTGCGTGAATGCTATATGCCTTAAGGGCTCCCTAAGAAAAACGTTTTTTTATCGTATATCCGATTTTGATGCCACTTTCAGCAGATGTTTGCCATATCAAAGTGTGATTATGAAATTTCTTTCCTCACTACCTCTTACCATTCCGGGGTTTTCCGGAGTCCAAGGTCAAAAATCCACCCTCTACTGTGGGACACTTTTTTTAAATATACTTTAAGCTACAGATCTCGGGTTCGTTTTATTCTGAACTAGACACCTAACTGCGTGGAATGACGGGACCAGATTTTTGATTTAGGTCTTTGTTCGTTTTCCAGAGATCGAAGATAATTGAAAACTCAAAAAATCCTTTCGGGTTATTCGGAAATCCTTGATTTTCTAGAAAACTAAGGCCTAATTCAAAAATCGGCTCCCATCAGCCCACGCAGTTAGGTGTCTACTTTAAAATAAAACCAATCGGAGATCTCTAGCTTGAAGTATATTTAAAAAAAGTATCCCACACTGGGCATGTTCGAAAAAAAAACGGGTTTTGACAGAAAATGCTGTGCATTTGTTCATCTATTTAAGACATATAGGAAAATGCTTGTAATTTTTGAACGCAAGATCACACAGTTGTGCAACGAGGGCGAGTTCGATGAAAAATTAATAAAGTCCAGTTTTCTCCGAAACTATGCAATAGTTTGCAACGAAATTTTTAGGAAAGATGTATTATTATATGGGCTATGCACTCTCAAATTTCTATCAAAAATTATTGATTCATTTAGGAGAAATGTCGGTTTTGCCTGCAAAATTTGTGTCCCATTTTTCTCCCAGAGGCAACGTGATCCAGATGTGAAACTTTTAGGGTAAATAGAACAAAACGAGCTGTGCTGAAAACTGATTTCAAACTTCGCGAAATTATTTTGGACATGTTTTAAAGTTCCTCAAAAACCAGGTTTCTGGAGATCTTTCTTTAAAACGTTTTAATGAAACATCATCAATCAAACTTATTTTATATTACTGACTTGATACACCACAACAATTACTTTGAAATGAGATATCTTTGCGCTCTGTACGATGCATACTTATTGAATTTTTGTTGTTTTATCTTCTTTCAGAAACAACAAAAACGGTGGTCTTCTGTTGTGGTCAAATTTTGTCGCCTGCTAGTAGTCCAACGGGTTCCCCCACGTACTTGAGGTTCATTCCCTATTAGAAGTACATTTTCGCGGAATATTGTTTCGAAAATTCCTCTGCAGGTAGGTAT